GAGACTGGGCTCCCTGCTAAACTCGTGGCTCTTGGCGGCGCTGAAGTCGTAGTCAGGCCGGAAGGACTCGTTGAGGGTGGCGATCAGGTAGAACAGAGTCTTGCGGCTGCAGGTGTCGCTCAGAGGTCCTTCCTCGTCCCCACTCTGGCTCTTCCCGAGCCTGGGAATGTTTGGATAGGGTGTCACTGGCATAGAACCAGCCCAGGGACACTGGGAAAGCACCTCAGGTTGGGAGGGGTGGGTGGGATTTTGGAAGGTTCCTCATAGAATGAGGTTTCTCGGTGAGTTTTGGGAGAGGGAGGTAAGGGGGGGGAATGGCATTCCCAGAGGGAATCCATGGGGATGTGGCATTTGGAGATGTGGCCTTGGAAGTGCTGGGTGGGATCAGAGGGGTTTGCACACCTTGGTCATTCCATGGGTTACAGGAGGAGAAAGATGGGACAGGGATGGAATGAGATAAGGTGGAAGGTATGGAAGGGATGGGATGGGAAAAGAGATGGGATGGACAGAGGGATGGGATGGGCTGAGGGATGGGATGGACACAGGGATGGGATGGACACAGGGATGGGGATGGGGATAAGATTGGGATGGGGATAAGATTGGGATGGGGATAAGATTGGGATGGGGATAAGATTGGGATGGGGATAAGATTGGGATGGGGATAAGATTGGGATGGGGATAAGATTGGGATGGGGATAAGATTGGGATGGGGATAAGATTGGGATGGGGATAAGATTGGGATGGGGATAAGATTGGGATGGGGATAAGATTGGGATGGGGATAAGATTGGGATGGGGATAAGATTGGGATGGGGATAAGATTGGGATGGATGGGAGATGAGATGGGAAATTGAAATGTGATGGGAAATGAGATGGCGATAGGATTGGGATGGGGATAGGATGGGGATGGAATGAGAGATGACATGGGATGGGATGGGATATGAGATGGGGATAGGATTGGAATAGGATGGAAGGGATGTGAGGGGATAGGAAAGGGATGAAGATGGGATGGAAATGGTGATTCCATGAGGAATTTAACACCTACACGGACATGACACTTGGGGACATGGACATTGGTGGCCTTGGCCGTGCTGGGGGAATGGTTGGACTTGGAGTTCTCCAAAGGCTTTGCCAACCTCAGTGACTCCATGACCCACAGAAGGATCAGGATGGGAATCAGGATTCTATGAGGAATTTAACCCCATGGCACCAGGGGCCATGCCCAGGAGACATCGGTGCACCCTCCAAACCCATTCCCAACCCCTTTCCCAAGCCATCCCAGGCCACGGATCCACCCTTATGCTGATCCCAAGCTCCCACCCATGAGCATTCCAGTACCTGCTGGGGCTGATGCCAGTGGTCTGCGGTGGGGACAGAGCCTCCAGCACGTGGGGCTGTCCCTCCTGGCAGAACTGCTTGAACATGTGCTTGTCATCTCCTGCCATCTTGCAGGAGTAGCTCTCGATCCTGGGGGAGAGACAGCAGAGTCAGCTCAGCTCCTGGAGCTGGGAACACCTGGGAATGTCCAACCTGGAGAGGAGAAGCTCCAGGGACACCTCAGAGCCTCTTGCAGTGCCTCAAGGGGCTCCAGGAGAGCTGCAGAAGAACCTGGGCTGGGGGAAGATGTCCCTGGGTGGGATTTAAGGTCCTTCCAACTCAACCCATTCCAGGATTCTGGAGCTCCTCTGCCATGGAGCCAGGCTGGGAAAGCTGGGAATGTGCAGCCTGGAGAAGAGAAGCTCCAGGGAGATCTTAAAGCCCCTTCCAATGCCTCAAGGAGCTCCAAGAGAGCTGCAGAGGGACTTGGGGCAAGGGATGAATAGGAGAAAGAATAATGGCTCCAACTGAAAAAAATGGCATATAGAGAAGGAGTTTCCCATTATAAGGATAATGAGAGATTGGAATGGAATTCCCAGAGCAGCTGTGGCTTCAAGAAGTGTTCCAGGCCAGGTTGGATGGGCCAGTAGCCACCTGGGCTGGTGGGAGCTGTCCCTGCCCACGGCAGGGGGTGGACTGGGATGATCCCAGTGGTCTCCTTCCTCCCCAGCCCATTCCATGGGCACTGGGGTCAGCTCCCAGCCTCATCCCAGGGATCCCCAACCACCCCTGATGTCCTCACCCAACCCAACCAACCTCTCCTTGACCTACCAGGCCATTCCCTAAATCCTCCCCAGATTCTTTTCGCCCAAGGATGAGAATTCCAAGGGCTGTGGGAAAAAGCTCCTGGGTCTGGGATGGACTTTGGGGTACCCAAAACACTGCTGGAAACTAGGACAACTGGGAGAAGTGATCTTTGGAAGCTATAGGGAAATTCCAGGGGGATCTTCCCTCCTGAGAAGGCACAAAGATCCAGCTGAATATGGGAAGAAATCCCTAAATTAGCTCCAAAGTTCTTTGTTCCCTTGGAATTGTGAATCCTGGAAAGTCAAAGAGCCAAAATCTACTTGTTTCTAGGCAAACCTGTGGATGGTTTATTTCTGGGATGGGCTAGGGACATGGATGGGATAGGGATGGACACTGGGAGAGGCTGGGAACGGCTCAGACAGAGAAACTGAGACCTGGACTGGGATCAAACTGGTTTTAAGGACAAAAGCAAGGACAATTCCTCATTCTCAAGGACAAGCCCTCACTCCCAGCACAGGAAAAAGGCTCCACATGGATAAATCCATCCAGGACATGGAGCTGAAGGCTGGGAAAAGCAGGTGGAGATGCAGGAACAGGTTTTGGAGAGGTGAATCCAACATCCTCCTAGGTCTGAGACACCTCTGGGAAGTGCAGAACCTCCACGGAGAGCTGGAAACTATTCCAGGGGGAGGTTCAGGTGGCATATGGGGAATATTCCAACCTGGAAAGGGCTGTCCAGGCTGCCCTGGGGGTGCTGAACATCCCTGTGGATGTGGCACTCGGGGACACGCTCACGGGTGGCCTCAGCCATGCTGGAGTTGCTCCAAGGGTTGTCCCAACTAAACCATTCCCAGATTCCCTGATTCCCTGACCTGCCAATGATGTGAGCATCTCCTGTCTCCACGGTCAGCTGGGAGTTTATGGCTTCAAAGCTGGAGTTTTCCAGCAGCTTCATCCTCCTGGAGTGATCCCTGGAGTGATTCCCAGTGCGATTCCTGGTGCGATTCCCAGAGCAATTCCCAGAGCAATTCCTGGTTGCAGCAGCTGCTCCTAAGTGTGTGAGTCCTGCAGGGCCCCAGGGCAGGTGTGGGGGAACAGGTGAGGGCATGGAACGTCCCATTGGAATTTCCCAGCCCAAAGGGAATCCCTGG